CGGTACGAGACTCGAACCCGCAACCTTTGGGTTACGAGTCTGACTCTGTAACCATTAGGCCACGACTTCCCAGTCCACCACTTACAAGTGGTATACCACTTACAAGTATACCACTTACAAGTATACTTACAAGTATACTACTAGTACACTGATATTTGTATACTTACTACATAAAGTATACTTAAAAATATACTTGAACTTTACTGAAGTATACTTAATAAAATCAACTTGAAGTATACTTCTTTTTGGTAAGGGAAGTGCAGATCAGAGCGGCTGTGGGGTGTGAGACTGGGCTTTTCAAACCAGCAGTAAAACACATTCAGATCATCAGCCAGTTGTTGATTCTCCACAGACTGCACGGGTGGTGTCTTGTACTTGGTGATGCTTCAGACTGTCGCTGGGTAACTTAAAACTCATAATGTCTAATTCATCTTGTTTTACAATTTTTTGTTTAATATTTTAACTGGAAATTAGTAATTAAGAATATATTATTTTTTTTGCAGTGTGTATGATCTGATGGGTTGAAATAACTAAAACGGAACACATCTATGTAACAGCTAGTTTACACATAAACCTTGACAATATAAACTATAATGATACAATTAATAGTTTGTCTAGTATTACTGTCACATCATATGTTGTGTGTTGGATGATGGATTACTAGTCTTAACCAGGTAAATCAGAAAGATCATGCTGACCAAATCTAGCCAGCTAGACTGGCTCTAACCAGCACAAACCACCCATGCAAATTCATGTTTTTTTGTTAATGCAAGATCTCTCTCACACATTAAACGTAATGATCCTGAACCTGGAGGCCTGTTTCGTCCCACTGGAAAACTACTTGTGTCCCATATGGGGAAAGATTGGTGTCCTCGTGTTCTCAGCAGGAGGAGAGAGACGGCTCTTCTCCGTATTGACATGGGTGTTTTGTTCAGAGTCGATAATCTATAATCAGAGCTGTAGTCTTGTCATCCAGTCCACTGGACAGAAGCTGTTTGCAGGACCGGAGAGATGCGACTGCTGGACAGACTGGATTCAGTAACACGAGCCGTACGACAGCAGGCCAGCTTTGAAATCAAATGTTTTGTGCATGCAGTGTAACGGTGTGTGTGATGCAAAGACAACAGAAACTGAAGAGTGAAGGAGGGATTCGTGATAGAAGAGAGTTTTTTGTTGCTTTTTAATCACTAACTGTGCATTTTATTAACAAAAATCGGATAGAAAAAGAGATAATGTCCTGGCAGAATATTATAAAGTTTCGTTAACTCGAAAAACAACAAAATGCAATGCAAAATTCAAAATACACCTGTGAAAGCATCAAATAATACAATCTCATGATCATGCATTTGACAGAAAAATCATAGTACTTTACAATAAGGATGTTCATTGTTAGTTAATTAAGCAAGTTAATTTCAACATTTACTAATTCATTTTTAAAAATCAATGTAGTATCGGTTGACTGTAATGCACTTTGAGCTAACATGAATAAACAATGAACAGTTGCATTTTAATTAACTAACATTGTTAGTTTATGTTAGCAAATGCATTAATGTTAACAAATGAGACCTTGTTAATTGTTTCCAAAATGACAAATCACATTGACTGTTTCTTCTAGAAAAATCGCTAAGATTAAACTTAGAGCAAATGGTATGGAGATAGAATTGTTGCATAATTCTAAATAAATAGATTATGATCCACAGATAAATGTAGAGAGGCTAACAAAAAGCAAACATATTGACAAATAAATAGAATGAGATCCACAAATAGATCTTAGAGTTTCACAAACATGAATTAAATTCACAAATAAATAAAATGAGATTTGCAAATAAAAAACATATTCACAAATATATTTTTATGTCACAAACACAACTTTGCCTGGCATTCATTTGTGAATCGCATCCTAATTTATTTATTTGGAATTATGCAATAATTCTATTTCCATAAAATGGAGACTTCTGAGAAAATGATCCCATTAAAGATCTTCAATCTTCTTCTGAGCAAAAGTCAAAGTTTAAATTACTTTTCTCCCAAATAATAACAATAAAGCAAAAAGCCCTGACAGACAGGCCGTGTTTTACATTGATTTTACCATGTGTAATGTGTCAGGCATGACATGAAGTTGAGTTATTAATAACTAGAGGTTTACATTTTTTGAAGAAAATGTGTGATAGTGGTTACCAGGGCTTTGGTTGCTGGTTACTAAGGTGATCTGGGTGGTTGCTAGGTCATTGCTAAGAAGTTCTGTATGGCTCTAAGTGGTTTCTGTCTCTGTGATGTTCTGGTTATCTAGTTAGTGCTATTTTTTATTTATTTTTTTCTTTGATTTTAGTTAAAGCTTTAGTCATTTTTGTGTGTTTTTATTGTATTTTTTAAATATGTCTATATATATGTTTTATTAATTTGTATATATTATTTTTGGTTTATTTAGTTTTAGTTATTTTAGTACTTCAAATTAAACTAATATGAGAAATGTTGCCTTAGCAACTAGCTGAAATGATTTTATTTTCATGGTTTTAGTTTTAGTTTTAGTTAACAATAACCCTGATTCTAGTTAACAAAATTGGCGTTAAATTATTTAGTTCATGCACATATAACATCTAAATATTGTCTTGGACAAACACCTTTGATATGATCCCTAAATTGAAAAGTTTACCTGGCAACAAAGACTTAAAGAGATTTAAATTCCAAAACAAACGCTCTGATTGGCTGTTCCTCTGTATCTGAGTGAGTGTGTTAGTGCTTGCTTTTGCTTGTTCTTTTCATCTAATCACCAGCTAATAAATCCTTGTTAAACACAGAACAGTCTAAGCTCAAGTTCCCCCTTGATATTCATTAGGAGAAAGTGCTGACTAAGATGTTTGTGAGTGTAAAAATAGAGCTAAAGAGTCAGAAAACTCCTTTTAAGTGCTGTAGAGTCGTCACGCTGTAGCTTTGCACACTTGGCCAGTGGAGCATTATATTGCGTCTGCTCGTACGTTAAGTCCAATTACAGTTTACATGCCTGCTGGGAAGTATTACTGCACCGGGACTGTCGACAGACTCTTTCTCCTGAAATTATGTTGCTGTGAAAACAAGAGAAATCAAGACGCACGTGTCATTTGTCAGTACAGTGTCATCTCTATCAATCACCGCTACTAAACCTGTTTTTACCTTTCCATGAACCTCTAACATGACCTCGCAGAGAAAATGAGATTCTTCTGTTATCATGATGTTCAAATAAAGTGAAGACGAAGGGAAGCGTCTGTACTAGAGAAAGATTTTCTGACCAAAGATGATCAAAATACTTATAAATGAATGCATGAAAATAATGCATAGAAGTAAAATTACGCATCTTACTATTTCTTTTTTCTTTTTTTTTATTACATTATAAATAATAATTTGTGTGTGTTATATTTGTTTATTTATTTATTGCATATTCATGTACAAAAATATGCACTGTTATTGCTTAGCAAAAATACCATTAAATGAATAAATAAATGTAAATACATTTCAATGTAATGTTCACATTTATTTATTTATTAAACAAAACCTTACATACATACTGAGGAGCATGAAATCGAAATATATAAATTAATTTTATATATATATGCACATGTTATCATTATATTAATATTATTACATTACAATATACATAAATGAACATATACACATATATAATTATATATCTGTATTATTAATTATATTAGTATTATTTATGCAATATATTTATATTTAATATATTTTATAATGTATTTAATATATTTAAATTATATTATTATTGTACATTTAATATAATAATTTTTGTAAAAAAAAAAATAACCGCTCAATTTCTTTCTTTATTCACCTGTACATACAGCAGTATCATTTATATTTTGCACTATGAAGTGCTTTGAGCTTTCTAATGAAATTGCATTAGCTCTAATAGTTACATAATGTTTATTATAGATTTTGCATTCTAATTTTGCCTTTCTATTTCTCTAAAGTTTAGCTGTCAGTTTAGATTAGCTGTTATTTTTCTGCAGAATAGTTTAAGATGATAATATAAAAACACATCACTCGGTACAATTTACTGCCCAGGGTCAGTGTGTTATGAGAATTATAATGTTTGTGTCAATAAATAGTTTGTGTAATGTGGTCACACGGAGGGCTAGCGTGTGTCAAGCCTGATATGTCCCGCGTCTGTGGCTGAGCGCCGTTAGCTTCCTGCAGGATTCTTATTGAGTTTGTTGAGGAGCCGCAGCAGAGCTCACGCTGACAGAGAGATGGTGAGAAAAACAGTGTCAGCAATGCAATTACCCACTTTAATGTGGCATCTGAAGGACAGATTACAAATAAACACTCGCTTTTTGTCTCTATTTGCTGGACAGTTCATTAGGAAAATCTTAAAAGGTGCAACATGATCAGCTTTAGATAAAGCAATTCATTATGCTGATCAAATTTACTGCATTAATGCATGCATCTGGTTTTATTTGGCCCAAATCACATGCAAATGCAATGCACATCAGGTAAACTGCTTTTTCTCTTGTCATTTCAGTTTCCTGCTGGTTTTCTCCTGTCTGGTTCTGTCTGTGTTCTCCACCATCAGAGAATATGAGAAGAGCTCAGAAGACGCCCTCTACATCCTGGTACGTAATATCACAGCGGTATTGATTTAACACGTGTGCATTGATCACATGCTAACATGACGTCTGTCTGTGTATTTGTAGGAAATTGTAACCATTGTGGTTTTCGGAGTGGAGTACATCGTGAGGATCTGGTCTGCAGGATGTTGCTGTCGATACAGAGGATGGAGGGGAAGGTTAAAATTCGCCCGGAAACCTTTCTGTGTTATCGGTGAGTACTGCCAAGTTACACTGAAAAATATTTTTCAACTTGTAAATGAAGAGTACGTTTTGCAAGAACATACTATTTTAGTCTTTATACTTCAAAAGTTCATGCATTTCATGTTTCTTTGTATTTATTTGCGAAATTTATTATCAGTGAAAATAGTTTAACAGCAAACTCTACACCACAAATCCTTATCCTTTCAATGTTTTCTAGTCATATAAGCACCGCTTGTATTTACTGTAATTGAATGGAAAAAGATCAAAATGTCTAAATTATGTTTCAACATGAGCAATGCCATGCAGCAACACCGAGGTTATAGGTTTGATTCCCAGGGAACATATAGAGTATTGTTCAAATTTTGTATTTATTTATTTTTTTAATGCATCCTTTTATTCATCAAGGACACATTCAATTGATCAAAAGTGCCAGTAAAGACATTTATAATGTTACAAAAGATTTCTATTTCCAATTAATGTCGCTTTAGAATGATTTCTGAAGGATCACGTGACACTGAAGACTGGAGTAATGATGCTGAAAATTCAGAGAAATAAATTACTGTTTAACATCTGTTCACATAGAAAACAGCTGTTTTAAATTGTAATAATATTTCACAATTTTACTCTATTTTTGATCAAATAAATGCGGCCTTGGTGAGCAGAAGAGACGTATTTTAAAAACATAAAAACATTTTTACTGACCTTTACTTATATAGAGATAAAATGCATGCCTGAATGCACAAAGTCACTTGCCAAATGCATGTAAATTTGCAGATTTTCTGCCACATTAATATTTTATATGATTGTGTATTTATCAGTTTATATTTCTTTTTTCATTCCTCAGACATCATGGTGCTGATCGCCTCGATCTCGGTTTTGGCCGCTGGAACGCAGGGGAATGTGTTCGCCACCTCCGCCATCAGGAGTCTCCGGTTCCTCCAGATTCTCCGGATGATCCGCATGGATCGGCGCGGGGGAACCTGGAAGCTCTTGGGATCTGTGGTCTACGCTCACAGCAAGGTAAGCGAAGACCAGAAACACTTCCAATATGCTCCTGCAAATCTCATCTCACACTCCGGCAGTCATTCTCCTTGTTGCAATGCTTTCTGTTTGAGATCTTCACCACGGGGCTTTCAGAAGAGATATATGCAATAAAGGTCTATTGGCTTTAGATAAAGCAATCCATTACACTCATCAAATCAACCCGATTTACATTATGCATCTGGTCTTATTTTGCACAAATTGTTAGAAGTAAATGCATTTAATGTCAGGTAACATCAGTGCATATCCATGCAAACGTTAACATAACATAAACATTAACATACAACGTTGACAAAAAGTCAACATGAAATCAATGTTAACATTCTTTAATTCATGTTCCTGGTCTTATTGTGAATGATTCGTCAATGCACGTTGTTCCAAATTCATCTAAATTAAAAATGTAACAAAGCATCACTTTCTTTTTCTGCTTCTATATCCTGTATCATGCAAAAATATGTCATATTATGGACATGTTTCAGTTGCAGATATCATTTCGTGTTATTTTAAAACACATTTTGAAGTCGTTTGATGCCCTCGAACAATGCAGCTGAAGCATGAATCAACAGTAGACAAACTCAATTTCCAAACTGCAAAGTTGAAATATTGCACATACTGTAGACCAAATATGATTTTGAGAGGTTTATTGTTATTCTGGTTGTTCCATGAGGCTTTTTGCTGTACAGATTTTGAAAATTGAAACCACAGGAGTTGTTCTGTCAAGTGTTGTTTGTCAAGCTCGTTGTTGAAGAGGGTTTGAGAGGTCAGGAACGGATCTGGTGGCGTCTTTTTGGCGTATTTATAATTTTGGTGTGGCGGTTTTGAGGAAAAGGCCAAAGTGGGGGCGACGCTTAATGAGACGTCCTGATGAAGTGTGAGCTGGAGGTTTGCGATTGATCGGACTTGGCAAGACATAAACTTGTACTGTAAATGCAGGGCACATGATCACAGACGGAGAGCTGACAGGAACAAGACAGGCAGAATTTTACATTTAATGCAAACTGCGTTGATGGTCACTGCAGTCACCCGGATCCAGTACGTATCCAGACCAGATGGTGGATCAGCACCTAGAGAAGACCTCTACAGCCCTGAAAGTCAGCAGAGACCAGGACAACTAGATGAGCCCCAGATACAGATCCCCAGTAAAGCCTGTGTCTCAGACGGCCACCGGGACAAGACCACAGGAACCAGATGAGTCCTCTGCACAATGTGACTTTGCTGCAGCCTGGAATTGAACTGCTGGTTCGTCTGGTCAGAGGAGAACTGGCCCCCCGACTGAGCCTGGTTTCTCCCAAGGTTTTTTCTCCATTCTGTCACCGATGGAGTTTTGGTTCCTTGCCGCTGTCGCCTCTGGCTTGCTTAGTTGGGGACACTTCATTTCCAGCGATATCGTCGACTTGATTGCACAGAGACTATTTAAACTGAACTGAGCTGGATGTTGACATCACTGAATTCAATGATGAACTGTCTTTAACTGAAAAATGAGTGTTTACTATTGTCACTTTGCATTATTGACACACTATTTTCCTAATTAATGCTGTTCAGTTGCTTTGACACAATCTGTATTGTTAAAAGTGCTATATAAATAAAGGTGACTTGACTTGAAATCATTGGCTGTGCTTTGAAAAATTAGTAAACATGGGCAAAGTTGAACGTGTTTGAACAAAAATATGTCCTAAGAACCCTTTGCTAATGTTCCCGTTTCTGAATGTTCTCTGAACGTTTACAGTGTCCAGTTTTTTTTATTTTTTTTAATGTTTAAAAAATATTTTTTCTTGGTTATGTGAATGTTACAGAAAACCATGGTAACACTCATTAGTTAACATTAGTTAATTACTTTAGTCAACCTGAACTAAGAATGAACAACACTTCTACAGTATTTCTTCATCTTAGTTCGTGTTAATTTCAACATTTTCTAATGCATTATTAAAATCAAAAGTTGTGTTTGTTAACATTAGTTAATGCACTGTGAACTAACATGAACTAAAAATGAACGACTGTATTTTTATTAACTAACATTAACAAAGATTAATAAATGTATTGTTCATTGTTTGTTCATGTTAGTTAATACATTAACATTAACTAATGGAACCTTATTGTAAAGTGTTACCGAAAACATTAAGGGAACATTTTAGGTTACATTTGTTCATTTTTCAAACAATGGAATGTTACTTTTGAATGTTCTCTGAATGTTCTGAAACGAGTAGTAAGTAGTAACTTTTCAAAAATGCAATTAGAATGTTTTTGTGCTAATGTTTTGAGAACATTATTAAAGACCAGGGTGGCCAGCTGCATACACTTAGTCCATATGCTATTCAAGGTGTAATGAGCCTTACTTTTCAAATTCAAATTAGACCAGTCTATGTTTTTATGTAACTGACTTTAAAAAGTTAAGACATCCATTTTTAGAGAAAAAAACTGATGACTTGCTTGTAAGAGTCAAAACATTTTAAGGAGCCGGTCACAGAAAACCTTGAACAAACGTTCTGTTAACATTATTGCAAAAACGTTTATTCATAACTTTGAGAGAACCTTGCCAGAACGTTCTGAGAACATTCCCTGTTCACTGGGCCAATGACTAGGGTGACACTTTTCTTCACAGAGCTCAATGCAATTGGGAACGTTAATGCAACTCAAACTGCACTTAATGCACATAAAATACGACCATTTCTAGAAATAGTTTGCTTGCGTCTCATGCACTGATGTTCCTCAGTGGTAGTTGCAGAGAGAATCTATTTTTAGCTCGGCTCCATCTTGCGTGATTCCTCAGCAGTTTCATACATCGTCTGTTGTCCTAGTGATGAAAACACGTTTTCTCTAACAAACAGATGCATTATACAAATTGCATGTTCACAGTAAACATGCTGAAATATAAATGAGTTTTAACGGAGTTGCATGCGTGAGGAAAGGATAGCCGTCTGTGAAATAGCAGAATTAGTCTGATTAATAATTAACGCCCAGTATATTAAACGAAAGAGGAAAACAGGTTATGTTGTGTTGTGAGAAAAATTAAGACTTGATGATATGAAATTCTCAAACAAAATAAACGTAAGCTATCATACTTTTTGGAGGGTTTTTATTGATACTTTTATTCAGAATGGATACACTAAATTGATCAAAAGTTACAGTAAATGCATTTATAATGTTACAAAAGATTTCTATTTCAAATAAATGCTGTTCTTTTCAACTTACTATTCATCTGTGAATCCTGAAAATTAAAATGTATCACAGTTTTCACAAAAACATTAATGTTTTCAGCATTGATAATAATCAGAAATGTTTCTTGAGCAGCAAATCAGCATATTAGAATGATTTCTGAAGATCATGTGACACTGAAGACTGGAGTAATGATGCTGAAAATACAGCTTTGATCACAGGAATAAATTAGTGTTTACAATATATTCACATAGAAAACAGCTGTTTGAAAATTTTTCACTTTTTTTAATGCAGCATTGGCGAGCAGAAGAGACTTTGTTCAAAAATCATGCCAACTCCAAACTGTTTGCTAATTCCTCTCTTCACCCGTTCACAGACTAAAATGAGTTTTTTGCTATTTCAGATATTCCTGATTCTAAACAAAGTGAACTACACTCTGTGCTTTCTAGATGGTCAGTTCTTGTCCAGATTAATCAGTGGATCAGACTGCAGTCAAGAGTCTGATTAAAGCATCCTGTCATTCATTCATTCATTCATTCAGGTGCCATCATGAGTTCAGCCTCAGACGACGTCTCTCTCTCTCTGTCTCTCTCTCTCTCTCTCTCTCTGT